CCAGCGCTGGGAGCAGCAGACTGCAACCATAAAACACCACCACACTTTAAACCAAAATGGCACTGTAGTTTAAGCCCAAGTGCCACTTAGAGAACACACAGAAAAGAGTTTCCACGGAGGACATTTTCAGGCACATAAGGTAGAAATCAGATCCAAGATTTTGTTACAGTTAGTGGCAACTCCGTCTATAATTACCTATTCATAACAACAATTAAAAATGTCAGTTTGAAGACAAGATGATGAAAAAAAGCCCACATTTACTATTAACACTCGCAAAGGCAGCCATGATTCCTGTCAGTTTCCTTCTAATTCTCTATTTTTCACAAGCATTTAGGATTCAAAGAGGAACCAAAATTTGATTGACAGACAAACCAAAAGCAAACAAAAATCAGATTGTCAGCTTATTGCCCTGCAAGAGTCACCATTGAGAGCGTTCCTTCTAGCTGTCTCAAGACAACAGATTGCCACCCTAATGCATTCAGTAGTTATATTTGAGACTATTGATTAAATAAAAGAGAATTTCCAGGTCCTAATTCTCAGTATCCACTTGCAGCCTTTTGGCGTCCATCACCTCCATCTCCAATCATTCCCAACCATCATTTCCATCTCCAACACAAGAACATACCATTTTTCACCCCAGTTTCGAGACTGACAGGAGAATCCATTGTAGGATTTCTATCAGTAACTCTGTTACCTGGTCAGAGCTGAAGAACACCCAAACATGTTAGAGATTGTCCCAGTATGTTCAACAGCCTCAGCAGAGTTTACATTTTCTAGTGCTGAATTTCTCCAGCAAAGGGAACGAACGCATGTGCTGGCTCTACAAACCCACCATCCTTTATTGAGGTTGCACCACAAAAACTTAAGAGCTTGCATTTATACAACAACTGCAGGACACGTGTCCCCGTCACTTGAGGGTGAAGGAGAAAAATTTATGAATAGACGATTTCAAAGACCTTATTTTGAAAACAAACAGTTTGTACAGTTGCTTCCCCCCAAAATGTTTCCACTCTCCAGAAAAACAAGAAGTCAACACACGAACACTCCTACAGTAACACGCCAATACTAACAACTCGCCACACAGAAATGCTTGTCAACAAACAATACCCATTCTAAAACCCTGGATAAAAACACAATTAGCATTAAAGGCTTCAGGTCTCACGGATAAGAGAGAGGCTACACAGTATGTAAAAGGATGCCTGGGATGATATATCTCACCAAACATAAAATCTGCACCTCAGACACGGTGTTATTTTAGAGTCAGGTCCATATTAGTTTCCAGAAGCCTGCTCTCTCTCTTTTTTACTGACAAGGCATTTAAATATGTAAAATTGCCTTCCCGGTGACAGATGCGAGTACAAAGGGAAGCGATTCGCCACCGAAAGGATTGATATGTTTTGAAAGTTACTGCCTGGCAAACTGTCAAAGGGGGTTTTATTGGTTTATTTTATTATGGCTGTAAATAAGCCCGGTGGCACGCGACCCGGCATGGCATCCGTGTGGGGAGAGGAGAACCCCCAAATACCCAAACACTCCTCACCCCAGCCAGAAAGCAGCCCGGCCGAGATGGGGTGCAGGCCCGGCCAAGAAGTGCCCTTTTTTGGCCAAAAAAAAGTGGCCTTTTCAGCCACCCACCCTTTGACACCCTCCGCAATGCCAAGGCAGATCCAGAAGAGCCACCCCCGTGTCCCCACCGGCCTTTCTCCATTTCCACAAGGCTTCACCTTTCCGCAGCCCTCTCCTCGCCTCCTCAGAAATCCCCCTTCCCCGCCGAAGGGCTCCCCGGGGTCGGTGAGGGGGGGACACCCGTCCCCGCCGGGCTGACAGGCCGCCGGTCACCCCCCTCACGGCTTGGGCCGAGGGTGCCGGGCCCGCCCGGGAGGGCGCTGACTGAAACACCCGGTCGAAAGGCCTCCCGGCCCCGCTGGCGGGGTCCGACCGGGGCTGTCAGCTACCGGGGCGGGCCGGGCCGCCATGTTAGCGGCACTGGAGGCTTCTTTCCCCCGGTTGCCGGCGGGGCCTAGCGCCGGGCGGGCGCCGCAGTGCTCGGCGGGCAGGGCCGCACCCGGGCGGCGAAACCCAGCGGCCCGGCGACAGGCCGGGGGACCGCGGTGGAGCCCGCCGCCACCAGCCGAGCAGGTGTC